CTCTCCTTTCAATATCTGCTAAACGGCTATAGTCGTAGCTTTGTGCTTTATTCTCGTCCTTCCTGTCCTCTCTCTCCCTCCCCCCCTCCCCCCTCCGCTTGCAAGAATTGATAGTTAACGCTGTCTTTGCACGCTCTTTGTTGCATAATAATATATCAGCGGCTAACGTCTCAGACATACAAATACAGCTTAGAACATAAGTATGGCTCTTCTTCTTCCTCCCCTCCCTTCCCCCCTCCCTCTCGGCTTCTTGTACATATTTTCCGCATGTAGGCTATGGCGATAATTGCGTTAATTATCGCCCTCATGCTTTCTGTATTTTTGCAAATTATGCAGCCAGTATGTTGTCTGTTTCCGCAGAGATCTCTACCTCACGATTGTTTTTATCCCCGAATTCTGCTGTGGAGAAATATATCAAAAAAATTCGCATTTTGTGCAGAATTGCGAAGCTATCAGAAACCTTTTAGTTGGTTTTTCTGATCGGTTTTTTGAAGACGAGATGCAGCGACTATCGGAATTTTCAATTATATATATGTAGGTATAACAAACGATCTTTGCATGACAATGCGGAAGTTTCAAAACTGGACAAAATGACTTTTCAGCTTTCGCTTAATGAGGAAAACAAATTCATGGCTCTCATTTCCAGCTGCTTTGATGGAAGAAATTGTAAACCTTGTCTACACACCTCAAAACTGTTTTGCTTTTCTCTTCCAACGCTTCACTTCCCTTGAGTGCCTCGGAATCATGTACATCACAAAAACGACTTTTGCTTGTGCAATGCAAAATGTTTCTCAAGCATATTACATTGCCTAGCTGCGTCCAATATCAACAAAAACATTTGTTGAAGTGAGCTTACGTCATTATATGCTCATTACGTCTTGTCTGCGACGGTGACGCAATTTCTCGCTTTCTTGTTTAGGGTTGACAAGCATTTTGAATAAGGCGAGTAATCTAAAAAAATGAATTCGGTTGACCCCTACATGGCGGCGGCTACAGTACTCCACTGTCGCAATGCCGCAATCCAGATCAATATATCGATTTTTTGTTCTGTATTTATTCGTTGTGTATCCATGTTTTGCGTTTTGCTGTGCGAGAAGTAGTTGTTTTTTGTACAGACAATCAATGCATTAGGTCGTCCAAGTTCGTTCGCACCGCTTTCAAAAATTCATAATTTCTCATTTTTCAGTCGATTTGACTTCTTTTATTTTTATTTGGGTAAACCATGTCCTTTATAATGATATTTTAGCGGCTTACTAATGACCATGGATAGGAACGGTAGAAGAAAATTGCTCAAATTTCGAATTTTCTGTGTAGGGTCATACAAAGGCTGAACCTTGCAATAAAAATCGGAACAGTTGGTACCTTACCGACTGATGTTTTTATTGCAAGTTTCAGATTATTTATGACCTTACATAGAATTCGAAATTTGAGGGATTTCCTTATACCGCTTCTATCTATGCAATAGATGAGCATTAGTAAGCCGTTAAGATATCGTAATAAAGAGCATAATTTACTCCCACATAAACATAAAAGCAGTCAAATCATTTGAAAAAGACAGAAGTTATGAATTTTGAAATGTGTGCGAACGAACTTCTCGGATTATTTCAATATCCAAACCGGGGACTACGCGCAGTACAAAATTTGTTTTGCCCCGAAAGGAAAATCTTGCTGATGCACACCATCTGTTCTTCTCACGTTCTCTAGATAAAGATGATGAAGGTTGTGACGAGGTTAGCAATCAAATTCTTTTCAGGAAAAATCGGCTTCAGACTTCTACGAACTGCAAACCCAATGGTTTCTTTTTTATGAGGAATTTGACACACAATTTGTACGCTCTCGAAAAGAAAAGGCTTCCTAAGCCTGCTTTGCAATTTTGTCGTGCAAAGGTTTAGCAACTAGATTAGCGAATATCCTGGTAAGGGGAGGGGAGAACTGCATCATTCTGCCCATGAGGGATTTTGAACAAGATTATCTTTTTCCCTTGCAATTCTTGCATTTTCAGCCTATTTGCTTGCCTTTTTCTTCGTTTCTACTTACCGTAAGACAAGGCAGCAACGAACGAGCAAGTACAATAGCTTTCCTCAAACTAGTTATTAGCTTTGTTAATGTTAGGCATAGCATCATGCTAGTCAACTTCTTTTCAATCTTCTTCAGTGCAGTGACGTAAATAAGGGAAGCTCTAAATTTGATTTTTTGCAAATTCTACATGTAAAATTCATCTTATTTTAGTATCTTATCCCGAAATTCTTGGTTCAGGATCAAGAGAGTTTTGTGTTCTAACTTCTAGTAATTAATTAATAATTAATTACTAGAATTCAGGAGACAAAACCAAATAACCAACTGAATAATTTGCTCACTAAGAGAAAATTGCTGATACTTTCATAGAAAACGAAGTATTGAGCAAAATACAAAATCTATCATCAAAGTGGTAGCATAACATAGCTATAAAGATTGTAAATTCATTCCAACTCGCTTTGAAAAATATCAAAAAATTTTATAAATGTTTTTAAAAATTTACGCTAGTTTTATTAGTTGGTACTTATTCATGCAATCTAAGAATAACAAATATTATCGTTTGCTAAACATTCTGAAAAAAAAGCAAAGTGTTAAGCAACATCCAAATCTTTCAATAAAGTAACAGATTATAGCAATCCAAAAATTTCATGATCGAAATCCAAAAATTTTTTCTAGATTATAAAAATGTCAAGAGAAATTGTGTAAATGTTTCCAAAATTAACTTGCGATGGTAGTTTCTTTTGTAGTTGTTACTTTTCACACAATCTAATACTAAGTTGTTTTTGCTCCTTGCCTGGTAAAAAATTTTGGGTAAAATTTTCAAAATTCAGCCTGAAATGTTAGTTCCTTTTGTAATCGTTAAGTATTCGCACAATCTATAAATGATGATTTTTATCTTTTTGTTTGGCAAATATGAAGAATATGCAGCTGATTTTCTAGCCTTTGATATCTTCAAAAAGAAAAACATTGCTTCTTCCTGCTATCGTTATGATGCTGCTTTTTGATGCCTTATCCTAGGGGATTACTTTCCCTTGTATTATATTTTGTTTTGCATTTTCGCCGGATCAAAAGATTTTGTGCATCTTTAATCACTATAAACCAGAGATTCTCTTTTAGTAAAATTTGTTTGTGAGTCTTGCTCAAAAAATTTGTGAAAATTGCTATGTTGCTACAATCTCTGTTTATGGCAACCACCCACAGTTGACTGTTTCGTACACTTTAAACATCATTGTTCGAATGTCAAGAGATTGCTTGGACATACAATTTCTACGTCTAATTGTTGTTATGGTTCCGTAAATACGCCTTGTCATTTTCTACAATTTATCATAGATCTATGAATATACGCATGATAGAAGCTTTTATGGTGAAATTGCAGTAGTTACGCAGCATTTTACGCTTCTGCACACTTATTAAATTATTTTTCGTTATGCTTTACCGTGACGCATACCGTCTATCTCCAGCATTCGCCCCCTCACAGTTTTTTTTTTCAAAATCGCGACCCTTCCTGGTTAGGTGCGAAAATTCCCGAAGATTGCGTGTTTGCTAGCTTGAACGGTAAATTTTAGATGTGTCTATGTGTCTTCGACGATAATTACATAGCGACGATGTCGATTCGCTTGTAAAACACCCCCTTGCCAACGTTCTCAGTTTTTTCTAAGAAATTTGCATGGGAAATTTCAAAGCTAAGAAAGGATTAAAGCGCCAAGCACTAATGTCTACGGCCGCTGGCCTTCAGTTCCGCTCTCACATATACTACATATGTCTTACTTATTAATGAGTTGCGCTTCTTTTCAGGCTTTCAACCGCGTTCGTCCTCCCCCCCCTCCATCCCCGCCTTCCTTGTTTACTGGGAAACTAGTGACCCTTAATAAAGGTGCTAGATTGGAGCGTTCGCTTCGGGACCGCCACGTTTCCCGCTATTTGCACATTTTTGAATTCAGCTAACGATTCTTCATATATTAGATCCTTACATTTTTGAATACTTCAGTCTTTGTATAAAGTTTTCAACCCCATAGATATTGCCTATCTGGATAAAAATAATGAAGCAAAAGCGAAAAGTTGAATACAGTAATCTTACAGTACCCCTGGCGTAGTATCTACTGTGGAAAATTTTTTTTGCTTAATGTATATTATTTTTCCTACAGCAGCAAATTTTGCTTACCTGAGTTATAAAATTTTCACATTGAAAAAAAGTGCTTTCGTTACGAGACGCTAAAAACTGTATACAGCAATCTTACAGTAACCCTGGCATGATATCTGCTGTGTAGCTAGGCAACTTTTCTGATTTCAAGAATTAACGTTGCCTCTCTTTACTCATAAATTTTCTTCATATGAGGTTTTAGAAATTCGTGGTTTTCCTGCAGTCATCAAGCAGCTTCCTGTAATTTCCGACGTAATTCTGAAATAGGGATTTTAGATTTAAAAATAAATGCTGTCCTTTTATAAGTTATTCTTCTGAGGAAGGAGTATTTCCTGCTCTTATTTTATAACTTCCTTTTCTGGAGAAGGAGTATTTCCTCGTTTGTGGGGCTACAATTATTATTGTTTTTATCGCTTTCTTTCTTTGTGAAGCTTTTGAATAGATTAGAAGGCTTTACAATTCTGTTAAAAAATCAACATGAGTCATAAACTAGTACTGTAATGACAGTACATCTACATTTCTATTCAAGGAATTTTTTTGGTCGCGCCAACGTTTCTGTTCAGAGTTTTTTTTTTGAGATTCAAGGTCTTCCTGCCTCCGTTAGAGCCGCAGGTCAATAAAAAATAAAAAGGAAGGCTACGAGATTTTGTAATTTTATTTCCCTCGATAAGTTCCGTGTTTGCTTAAAATCACCTTTGTACTTCTGCTCCAAATTTAATCAGCAATTCTTCTACTCATGACCATTCTTTTCCGCAAATTTGCACATTTATTGCCTTTTGCTCGTGACTAAGCCATCTGCAAACTAATTTAATTTTGCCAAATGCACTTTCATTTGCAGAATAATATGACAGAGTATGCGGACTATGGAGACGATAGCTCAGCCGAAGTCTCCGATATGCACTATGCAAAAGGGGTGATGACGATCGTTTACATCACTGTGTTCGTTATCGGCACTCCGGGGAATTTATGGATTATCTACAAGCTCATCCAGGCTAGGTTCGTTCTAGAAACATATTGCTGTGCAAACTTGCACTCTGCAATTTCATCACTATCCTTTGAATAATTCCGTGTGTGCTAGATGACCGACCACGCAGAGTTCAAAGACGAACTTTTTGCGTGAGGCGAAGTGTCACACGATAGCTGTCAGAGCACGTATCCTATTGAAAAATAAGAAGTGACCAAAATTCAAGGGTGTGAAGTTGTATCATCAAGTTAGATTATCATCTGAAACGAGCGGGGGCAAAAGGGGAACAAAAAAGGCAAATTATCCAGAGGAAGATATTAGCTTTTGGGCTGAGGTAAGGTAGTTAGGGTTAGAGTCATATCGACTAGGAACCCACATCAGCCGAGCTTTTCTGAGCGCTGATGTTCAGAATTTGAAAATAAAAACAACGCAAAAACAAACTTTCACGTCGTTAAAGGCAGCGTACACCCAAAATCTAAGCTACCGAATTTCCTAGATCTTTCTATACCATGTATATACTGGGCCCAGAAGACGACCAACTGCGTTGGTCCGGTCTCCCAATGTTGCTTCTGAGCGGAGAAAACCCCCCTCAATTTTCTTTCACTCCGCCCCTTTTCTTTCACTCCGCCTCCTCCGGACGAATCCACGACAGCGTAAGCTTCAGTTGCCGTTGCAGTTGCTGTTGCAATGCTGTTGCATCTGCAACTGCAGTTGCAACAGTGCAGTTGCTTTTTGCGGTGCGCCTCCTTCGGGCGACGAACCACGACAGCATATGCAGCAGTTGCAGTTGCAACTGCAGGCTGTCATGCTGTTGCAGCTGCTGGCATGCCGACGGGGACGAGCAGTTCGAAACTCGTCCGTCCCTGAAGAGAGGGTCCCCGGAAATCGGGGTTTTTTGGGACTTTTGGAGGATTTCAATGACATAATTGTAATCAGCGGCACGGAAAGGCCCCAGAATGACAAAAACATCGAAGGTGAAATTTTGGCTGTTTACGCTGCCTTTAAAGGCGATTATCACGACCATTAGTTATTTCGCTCCACCTCCCAAAAAACTGCAGAAACCGCGGAAATAGCTTTCTTCACTTCAAGGAACGGATTCTTACCGTATACCTTACAAGAGAAGGATACCAGGTCGCAGTGGCGAACCGAAATGACATGCATATCATTAGATGCGACTTGACGAGCTGATTCCAAATCTATCTTCGCTATCTGCTAAGAGCTTCTCTAGAAGGAACTGTGAGCGTTTAAAGATGTGAGAATGTTGGAATTTTGATGCGTAATGCGCTCCAAAAACTGCCTTAGGAGTAATCAATTTGCATGGTTTTGAGTACACTGACTACAAGAAATGCATACATACACCGAACACATGAGTAAGCGTCTTTGAACAAGTTGTTCTTGGAAATGTGGCATTAAATGTTTGCTAATTTTGGACATTCAAACGCCCATAGCTTCTTCTAGAGGAGCTCGTAGCAGATAGTAAAGATAGATTTGGAATCAGCTCATCAAAGCGCATCTAATGATGTGCATATCATTTCGGTTCGCCACTGCGTTCGGGTATCCTTCCCTTGTTAGGAGCGATCTGAAAAGCAAATTCTGCAAATGCACTCACTGCGCACTCACTGCTTTGCTCCCCTAATTGAATAAAGTACATGTCATGCCTCATGTGCCACGCTCATCTTGCTCGACTTTATCATTTTGTTCTTATTTCATTAATTAGCTTCGCTAAGAGATGAGGGGGAGGGTGAAAGGGGCGGGGGGGGGGGGACACCTCTCAAGCAATTTTCAAAATAATTTCTTAGCGATATCTCTATTTCCTGATTTGTTTGCAGAAAAGATGTCTCAAAACAGCGTGAAAAAAAGAATGGCCTTTTCAGAGATAAGGAAAATAAGAGTTTGAAAAATACAAAATATTCCAGATTACTGGCTCCGAGCGCTACGATAGGACTGACTATCTCACAACGATCTCGGATTTATATTTTTGCACTGGCATGTTCGGATCTGGTGCTGCTGCTCACATTACCGCTCACTGCCAGCTATAATTATAAAGGCACTTGGATTTTTGGAGAATTTGTGAGTTTATCTAGTGGAATTTTCTTCTTTATTTTAACAAAAAAAAACTTTGTAAATTAGAGGTGGTGCAAAAGAAGTACGGGCCTTTTTCACGTTCTTACTCTGCTAATTATAGTATCTCTTCTTGAACCACTTGCCAATTACAGTATCCCTTTTCGCTTACCAAAAAACTAAAATAGCTAAATCTGTTAAATAGGCACAAAAACGAACCGTTATGTTGTACAAATTGACATAGCTTTTATTACAATTTTTTTGTAAAATATGTAAAAAATACATTCATCTGTGGTTTCAAGTTATTCGAAGGTTTCAGATGTGCTATGCTCATCTTACGATCGAAATTGTTGCAAAGCTATTTTCGGTTGTACTTCTTACGGTTGTGAGCTTGGAACGATACTTCATCGTCTGTACAAGGTTTGTAATCAACATTAATTATTTATAACTCTAGTGCATAAATATACAATTTTTTGGTAGACGGCTACGCTTTCTAAAAAAATTTCTTCGGCCCATAATTTTAGAATTCCAGAAAAATTGGTCGCGGATGCCTCCATGCATCCAAGAATTTTCTTCGCTAAACTTATTTAAATCTTAAAAAATTTTAAAAAACTAATTCAATTATTACAAGTTGAAATGAGTCACTCGCACAACTTTATAACCTTCGAAAATTTTTTCTTCTATTTTTAAGGCCTGGACATATTAGAAGAAAATGTTTCTCAAAATAACTTCATATTTTTCCTGTGGCATTTTTGCACATTTTCCTTAAAGGCTAATGTTTTACGCATGTCGTACACTCTGACGTTTCAAATTCTTTCTAATCTTCTGTCTAATAATCTTCTGTTTTTCCATAAAATGACGCATATGGTCTTTATATAGATTCAAATATAGTTGTGCTTTTTTGCAATTTCGTAAACATTCTTTACACGTAAACCTGGTTCAAATACGAAACAACGATCGTGCTTTAGCCTATAACGATTTGCAATTGATGCTTTTTGGCTGATGACAGATTAGTCTTGTGAGAGACGACAGAATCAGCAAAAAACTGTCTTTTGCCTAATTAACGAGCTGTTTCGCTAAAATCGCCTACGAAGCAAACAATACGTGCTGCACATATATTTTCACTTGATTTGAACCATTGATATTGAGCAGTCATTCTACTATGTAAATAATTAGGAATAATGTTATTTGTAGTGAACACACTGTTCACTGACTCATAGCAGGTGTTTTGACAAATTTATCTTGTCGGCAACAAATCAGCATCAGAAAAACCAGTAAGCGATAATTAAGCGGGATTACTGTAACTTTGCTTTTTACTTGTAGAGATGCGGTTTTAGAAAAAATATGCAAATTAACATCTTTACGAAAAATAATAAACATTTGAAGGTAGCAATGAGTTTTTTGTATATACATACTTGATTTATTACTTTTTGATATTACGGTAACTGCGCAAAGTTACTGTAATACTTTTTATCGAAGCAATAGAAATGCTCATGTAATTCTGCATTTTTACGGAAAATTAACAAACAATTAAGGTGCAACAAGGAAGTTCTTGGGTGGACATACTTTATTTGATATTCTTCTGGGTTGCCCTAATCTTGCAAGGTTACTGTAACTTTGCTCTTTGCTCGTAAACATGCTGTTGAAAGAGTTGAAATGTTTTTATTTATTCTGTAATTTTGCGAAAAATTATAAACAATTATGTAGGAAAGCAGCAAGGAAATATTTCCTAATGGCATGCTTAACTTACTGTTTTTCTAGGCTATTGTAGATTCGCAAAATTGCTCTAATGCTCTTTATTCGTAAAGTTGCGCCTATCGAAAGAACTGAAATGCTCAAGCAATTTTGCATTTTTGCAAAAAAATAATACTAAAAGATTATTGTGGAAATGCATTAAGAAATCTTTTTGTGTAAACATAACTAATTTAGCATTTTTTTCCAGATTACGGACAGCTTGCGGTTCATGGCTTACAACTGTACCACTAGCCATAGGAACTCTATTCTGCGTCATTGTTCCATCAACATTTCACTTTTTCCACATCATCCATCACCGGTTTACGATTCCTGGAATGGTAAGTTCTTGCCAATATATCAAACCAGTGACGTAGAGGACCCGATATTTTCTCTCTAGGACCACATTACCGTTTGCATACCAAATATGGACGATAACGTTTTCAATATGTACGCACAATATACGTTCTTTGTTGGATTCGTCATACCGTTCGTCTTGATGACCGTCTGTTATTTGTTACTTGTGCGACATGTGAGAGCGAAGTTCAAGAATAGAAAAGGTAATTTTTTTCTCTTTTTTGATTAGACTCTAGTAGGAATAAGAAATAATAAGGAATTTCTGAATCCTCCGTAGAATTACCAAACTCTTTTCCTTCTCGTCCCTAAACGGAATAAGAGAATTAGAAAAACTTCCCGGAAGTTGTCAGTAAGGAAAAACGGTCTTAAACTCTATTTGAATACCTAGAGATAACCCCATTTTTAGAAAGTTTGTAGTATGGTAAGAATACTTCTTATTGAAAAAGTGTCAATTGTTCAAGGTTTCGTAATATAAGTTCTAAAAAAAGAGTACTTCTGAAATGGTAGTAATGATTAACTTTTCTCGTTTCCACGATTAAAGTTCGAGCTTCAAAGGTTTTTGTGACTTTTCCAGCTATTTTTCAATTTTTTTCGGTCTGCTTGTTATTGTTAGATTACTCATTGCACATCCTTGTTTTGTATTATTGCCTTCTACCGCACTTTTTTTGCTTAATAAATCAAAAAGGTATACAAAAACTGAAGCATTCGGTTTTGACATTTGGGTTACCGTAACCTTGACGTAAGATAGTTCTCAGCTCAAAAGAAGTAACCTTGCTTTGTTTTTGAAAGATGATTGAAGAAGTTAAAACGTTTTTCTTTGATGGATAGTTGGGATTAGGTAAATCATTAGCATTCTCGTAAATCATGCCTTTCGTGAGCATTTATTTCATCAAATTAGGATGTTAAGTATCAAATACGGTAATTTTCTGGTGTTCGTGTAACCATATAAAACCAATGGACCGGAGACTTTTGATTTTGAGTTTTTTGGCAGTCATATGAAGTTACAAAATCGGAAGAGCTTCTCTGATCTCCATAGAAGCCCCATAGAAGCCCCTTAGATTAGAAGTTCAAGTACTGCCATATAGTTTTTTGAAAGCAGACATTGAAACTGCGACAAGTTTCTCTAAAATCGTATCGACTTCAAATATGGCTTCAAGAATTCAAATATGGTTTCAGGAGAAAAATGTACCCTGGACTAAGGAGTCGTCTGGGACAAAATCCTTCCGTTTCATATTTTGACTCAAAAGTTTTGATCTCCTTGGCCTTATTAGGCCTGCTACAACAGTTAAATTGCCTATACACCTTCGTTATGCATAATGAACACATGTCTTGGACAAAATAATTGAGCTTTTTTCCTCCAAAAGAATTGCATAAGAGCTTGAAAACTATCTCATGAACTAAAAAAAGTCAAATAACGCTGAAAAATGCTGAAAATTTAATATAAAAGAAGTTCAATCAACTTCTGCATTTGGCTACAACATTACCATGCATGGTTGCATTGAAAAATTGTTGAAAAACTTTGAAAACACCTGAATTATTTTGCAAAAAGTCTAATGAGGAAAGCTACCGTATACCCTAATAATCTTGCTTGACTGAAGTTTTTTAGATGAAATTACGACTCCAAAGCCTGCCTATTTCGACAAATTATAATCTTCAATTACAGTAACCGTCAACTCGGCGAAAACGATCAAAGAGCCACGTTACATGCACGAAATGCGCAAGTCAATTTGGCGAATAGCCGTCTTCCATTTCATCTGTTGGGCTCCATTTTGGGCATTCGCCATCGTTCCCCATTATATTGCTCAACTATGGGGACATGAGTTCTTGGAGCGACTTCCGGGATGGTGAGTTTGTGAGAATATGAGATTTTGTCTTACACTAGAAAATAATTACACTATTTCTACGAGTTTTTGGAATTTCAAACTAGTGAAACATTCATTTTTTGATGAGATGTTATTTTATGGGTGTAATTTGTTGAGAAATTTTCTCAAGTTAAAGCGAATTGCGACACAGGTTAGGTTAGGTTCAAACATTTCTTACCTCTTTGTAGTATTAGGTTGTTATAAAAGTTTTGTTTTTATAAACCAAAAAAATCTTCTTAACTTCTTTAAAAGATTTTTCCACATTGTTGTGTGAAATGTTGTGGTTTCGATATATACAAGCCACACATGAAAATCACAATCTTTGGATTTAAAAAAAATTTCGGGTTGTTTTTGGCTATCAACCTGCATTGGAAAGCTCAAACTTCTAAACAATCTTCATTCTACCGACGACTCGCGGGCATATAAAAATCTGAAATGGAGGAATCGGGAATGAGAGTTTGAGAAATATCAAAAAATGGAGAAGTTGATTGGCTTTCAGAGAATCAAATTTATGTTTACCATGACTCATATTCGGAAAGCGAAAATGCGCCAATAGATAGCACTTCATCTTTCCCTCATATATGCCAAATTTAAGACTTTGCCGAATTTTCTAGAGTTTTCGAGAGTGAGACGAAAAAAGTGTACCAAAAACAATAATGACCCAATATGTCCAACAGACTCACTTCATTTCTTTCAGGTACATCTATTGCCGATTGTTCGCCAACTGTTTGCCATATATTAACGCAGCCGGTAAGTTGATATCTTCCCCAAAAATGTTCTTCCTTTATTTTCATTTTTTTGCAGGCAACTGGGTACTGTACGCGCTGCTGAACTATGATGTGCGCAAGCACATCTACAGTAAACCATATTCGCGATTTCTCTTCTCTTCGATGTCAACTGTGTAGAAAAAGATATGCTGGTAGCAAACCACGGGCTGAACACGGGCTGGTTGAATGATCTCAAAGTAATGATCTGATGATGTCTGCAGTGACTGTATATTTTCGATGAAAATTTCTTGTCGCATTCATTCATGATCCGTATGTGTTGTAACGTATCGTATATATGAATAAACGGGTAATTTTGAAGTCTTTTTGGATCAAGAATAGACTCATTTTGATTTGTAGTAAATGAATGCAAGTGATCGCTTAGAATGGAAAAGTTACCTTACAGGCAAACTGGAGATGCTTGTGAATAATGTTGATGACGTGTGAATTGAAGGTTTATGTGAATTGCAGTGACAAAGTGTGTGCGGCGATTAGCTTATAAAATCCGTTTGTTTGGGCGTGGAATTGGGCAAAGTGGAGCACTCTTAATAGCTGATCGAGAATAATAATTCACCGAACGATTACGGTAGCTAAGGGTACTGCATGACGAAGGCGAAGAAGCAGTTTAGTTGAGCGGGAGCCCTATGAGAACAGGCGAAAAACTCATGGGAATGGAGTTTGAATCTAACAACAGAACACTAGGGATCGAGTTACAACAAAAAGACAGTGACATTAAGATACAATACATAAACTCATTACTCCCCAACAATTGAAATGATAAACAAACAAGTAGATCTGGAAAGTTTTAGTTAAGAAATGAGTTAGTGCTGGAACAGCAATCAGGAGCTCATTCGTATAAATGATTTTTTAACGTAAACATAATTCAGCCCCTTCGCGTTATAGTGCGATTGCACAAAACAGGTAAATAGCGCGTCATTTTCTTTCAAGATTGTGTTCAAAGCGCGAAACGCAAATTTCGCTCATTTTCCCGCAAATTTTTTGTCTTCCGTTCCATGCAGCAGGGTAATTCAATTAACTTCAAACACATCAAACTAATTGAATAACAAGTCTAGAATTTCGGTACCAGAATTACTTTGTGCGCAGTCACTTATGGATGATTTCTTGTCATCAGATTTTGTTTTATCACATATGCAAGATTTCAGTAACTCTTGTTTGGCAAATGGGCCTTTGTGCCATTTGCCAAACAAAAAGTCAGCACGGAAAAAGCATGCTCCTAACTTTCTAAAATTCAGTTTAGTGAGGCAAGAATAGTATTTCCAAAATATATAGGCTACCTCACTTTGAGTGTAACAGCTCTAGCGGCTCGGATCTTCGCGGCCGCGTGGCCATATTCCAGGCTTGTACACGTACTCTCTGGGCATTCACTCCTTATAATGGAAGTAATTAGTAACAGAGACTTTTTGATATGGGATGTCTGGCACCTCCAAGAGGCGTAAAACGCTTATTTATTTCTTTTCTCGGTACTTTTCCGTTTCTGGAACCATTTCTTCAAAAGGCTCTCACAACATACGTTCGTTAGTCTAAGAATAATTTTTTGTACATTCTACGAAGCCGGCCTCCCCGCCGTGCTAGGAAAAATTTGACACGTTTTGATCCATATTAACTTTTTTTTTGAAATCATTTCCGGTGAGGTAAAAAAGCGTTTGCGAACAACTAAAAGCCTTTCAGCTGTTTTCTGTAAAAGCAGAACTGTCTAGAACTTATCGCAGAACATCTTGATTGCTTTCACAATAACTCAAACTTGTCTTACTCTTCAGACTTTCCGCCATACGAATTCAGTCAGGAGAGACTATGGCTCGTAGTAAACCCCCCATCAGGGCATCTCCCTCGACGCGGGCCGGCGTTGATCTCATCACGCCTTTCTAGCATCCGGCGAGCCATTGATCTGGATGCGGATCGCTTCCGAGGCATTACAATCGAGTGCATTCTTGAAAAAAGAACCACTTGAGTTGATTTGGTCAAACGGGTAAGCGATTGAAATTACACGCGCGCGGCCGTGGTTCGACTCCCACTAGCAACACAACTTTTGATGTATCGCTGTGCAATCTTTGATAGCGGCCACTACGCAATCGATGATGACCGCTATCAAGGATTTCGCCTAGCAAATGCACGGATAAAACAAAAACACAATTTGTGACGAAAATTTTATGAAAAAACGAAATGGTTGTAGCGTGTTTTCAATGAAATGAATAAATGAGTTCTTGTTTTGGACAGCTAATGAAAAAAAGCCAGTAAGGTTTATAAAAAAAGAGAAGAATTTGTTTTTTTGTTATCCTCGCCAAAATCAGCTGTTCATCGATCCTCTCCTTTTCGGGCGCGGTTGTGCAGTTTTGCGCCGATTTTGTCTGCATTTTTAGCCTAACTGTGTGTCGTATGTCGATGATGTGTGTCGTAAGTTACTCAGGAGCAACTTACGGGAGTCTTATCTGCGTCTCCTCTTTTACACACTATTTGCATCACTCTAACATCAGTTCACGTTCAGGTCACTTGAACGTGAAATGATGTGGAAGAGTTGCCTGCAGCAGGTGGACAGATGGTCAACTATCAGTTCACTCGCCATTCTTATAGCATGGGAGGGTGGGCGGTCATCACTTCACCTGACGTGAGGTGAAGTGATGGGATAAGTTCAGTTCACCTGAACTGATCGAGCTTTACTACGGGCCTATGAGTGATGGCCTGCGACATTTCGCTGATGCTTGTTTCGCAGCTTAAATAATGGCATCCGCCCACTTCTCCATTCTGGGCAAATCTAACCTGTTCAATGATAACATGATGACGTTATTATTATAACAGCGTTCATTTCTGAAATCGTTTATTTGGAAAGTTAAATACAGATTGAATTCACGTCGCTAGGTAGTGCAAAACAAAACCTTGGTGAAACTTGTTGGACATGTAGATGACATGTCAAATATTTTTGGCACGTGGCAGAAAGTTGACACTTCTTCCCTTGAATTAAGGACCAAGTATGGTACAAGAAAGAAAGCAATATCCTCATTTCAAAAAATGGGTCCAGATAACGGAAAAATACCCTTTTTTCTTTATCTGCGGAGCGTTATTGGACAGGTTGAGTTCGACAGAGGAAAAGAATGAATGCGCAGGTGGATAAGAATAATCGCAGCATTATTCGAAGCGCTTATAAGTGGTATTTATAAGAACATTCTTCACAGCTAATTCTTCTGAAGAAGATGTGGATGAAGTATATCCACATCTGCTCATTCGGTAGGGAAATTTTAGCAGTTGAAAGAATTTTAACTCAGCTCGGCCAATCCAATGAAGCTTATATCACCATGTAGCGTTTGAAACGCTGATTCCAAGTTTGTCGTTCATGGCTGCGAAACGGTACTGTGGAGGGGGTTATAAGAGTGTGTCTCTCCTGGATGAGGCACCGGTCAAATATCAAACCTTGTATAGACAGTGTAAAGGAGTATACGAGACAGTGGCGGACCGAGGGTGGGGGGAGACGGGGGGGGGGGGGGAATTTTTAAAACTTATTCACATGGGCTATAGAAATGTGCAAATGAGTTGTTTATTTTTGTAAATAATTGAAATAATTTTGAAAATTTTTTAAAAATTCGGGTTAGCCTTATAAAAAAATTTTTTTCGACGCGTGCCTGACGCCACGCCCCTTTTTCCAGAATCTAGGGGTTGGGGACCCGCAAAAATTTTGTGAAGCACCCTAAAAAATTTTTTGGAGTGCGTGGCTGACGCCACGCACCTTCATTTGAAAAAAATTTTGTCGCACCCCCCCCCCCCCCCTCCGATTCGCAAAATTCGCAGGATATAAACAGGGCTCAGCAGAGGTGGCGCTTTTACACGCTGACTATCGCATTTTGGGGGAGAAGCAAAAGGGAAATCGTAAAGTCTCCAGGGGGTTTCCGGATGTGATAGGATAGCAGGCACATAACACGTAGTACACCAAATTTGAGGCTCTAATATCATTCAACCACTAACAAGTCCATTTACATGTTACGAACACAATCACGATCACCAACTTGTGTTCAGACGATTCCCAATGTGCTAAAACACAATCTTTATGCGCAAATAGATAAACAATCACTTTGTTCAGAACGACTAAGTAATATTGAGCCATCAGAATTGGTATTTAGCTTCGCGACGGTGAAGGAAAGATAAGTAAGAAAATTTGTGAAAAAATTATGTGGATGAAGTTTAAACGCTATAATACACTCGTTTCCTCACACAATTTTCCGAAAATTTTTACATAAATCTATTCTTCAGTTCAAGCTCTATTTATAAGTACTCACCTTGGTCCAAGTTTCGATCCCTCTGCTTTACTACGGCACTTGACAACATAAAAACTTTCTTTTTGCTCTTCTGTTGTTTCATTATATCTCTAAATTTTTGGCTTGTGCTCACTTTTTTTACTCATCGTTTGCTGCAAGCTATAGGCCGTACTTCCACAAATCCATAAAAGGTTACTCGTAAATTTCTGTAATGTCAAAGGGGTCTTCGTTTCCTAGATTTCCGAATGCCAGCTCGTGCTGGGCCCTTGGATACAAATTCGACCTTGCAAATGGGCATCTAAACTGAAATTTAGGCACTTTTCACAGTTAGAAGTCTGAACAACTACACTATCACGTGATTCATCACTGTTAAGTAAAGATTTTCGACATCGACTTGGGCACTATCTCAGTATGTCTCAGTATGTGGCTTCAAAATTTTAGTGTCATAAGACTCGCTCAAACTTGATCTACGGGGTTTATTCAAACATGCAACACACAGTCATCACATTTTATTTCCACAAAAAATCCCTGTGTTTCACAGCAAGTAGAGGCATGTAATAGTGTCCTTGCACCAAAAATCATCAGTTAGAATGCTCAAAATCATCTACAAGCTCGAGCGTTTTCAAGTTTTGCAAAATTGCAAGAGCGTTGTGGGCGACGGGATTCGAGCCGGTGACCTTCTGGTCATACTTTTCCCTTTGCAAGCCACCATCGTTGGATGCTTCTGTATTGCCCGGCAAGGGTTGACATGTTGAAGGGGGCTTGTCGGAAAAGACCCTCATAAGTCCTTTCATGGAACTGTTCCGCAGCTGCGACAGGTTTGGAATGAGCATTTCAAGCGCTTTACGGTGATGTATGCCTCATCAGGATTGACCGTGT